TGTCTCTATGAACGTAGCTAGAGAGTGTCAGACCACATAATTGCTTGTCGTTTTGTTGTTCTCATGGACATAGCTAGTCGTTGATGTTCTTGTTTGTGGATATATTCATTCTCAACAAAAATTAATTGTGACTAAATAATGAGATTATTTCATTTTAAATATTTTTTTTGAGAAATTGATTAATTATTGTGAAAAAATATCCTTATAAAAATAATTCAGAAAATTTAAAACTATGCCAGCAAAAAATCAAATTTTCTGTTCAAAAAATGAAATGTTTATGGAAATATTTATTCAATATCTGTTTTAAGATATTGATGTTTAACTTTTTTGCTTTTGAAATTTTTTGATAACTACATCACAATATTTTCAAACTTCTAAGTTGCTTTTAATTTTTCTTTAAATATTCAGCTTTTTTTTCTGAATTGTAATTTTCTTAATTTCATACAACTCTATCATATATAAAATAAATTTCATGGTTTGAATATATTTAATGAGGCCATGGAAAAATATTTTTTTACCTATTAAAATTCTATATTTTTGAATAGGGTTAAATATTTCTATATTTTGTCAATATTACACTCTTTGAATTTTGTTCAACTTTGTAAAAGAACTTTGAGCGTTGCTAATCTTAAATTTATATTAGCTAGAATATTTTTAAAGTTTTAGAATATCATAGTATACATATTTTTTATATTGGAAATATAAAATTTTCTTCATTATAAAAAAGAAATTCACATTGAATTTTCATATTATGATATTTATTCAAATTATGTTATTTTTAGAGTTCAATCTATAACTACTCACGACTCTCACCTTGTTGTCCAATTTGAATCGGAAAAGAATGTGCTTACTTGATTTATAAGTGCACACTTTAGACAAATTACTTCTTAATTGTTTGATTTGACTGCAATGTCAAAAATCAAGAAAAAATTGATCTAATAAGTCTCAACGATGCAAGCTCATAGCGAAACTGAGAAAGACAGATGCTTCCTATAAAAGGTGCCTAGCACGGAAGTACTATGTCAGTGAATCTAGAGCTATCTGTCTTAATGTTTGATGAAGCTAAAAACAATGGTTTTTGATCCTGTGTTGATATTTCATTGAGTTTGAACAAATGGTTATATCCGGATTGGATACATGCACCTTGCCAATTTTCCTGTGCTGCCATCTCTTGCCACCACCAAAGCAAAAAATAGTTCATCGAGTTTATCAATCCCAGATTGGAATTTTAGACTGAGTCAAATCAGAGTCCGTCAATGTTACAGAAGATGCTGCTTCATGGATAGGAAGCTTAAGTCAACAAATGTGATAGTAGATTGGTGGTAGCTTTAGATAAACTCTATGCGATTATTGGCTAATATGATCTTGAAAATGTTTGAATTATTTTAAAGTAAGATCCAAACTATCATCTTGAAAAAAAAAGAAAATATTCTTCAAAATTTTGTGACAAATAACAATACATGACATGTTGAATCAAATAAATTTGAAACCTATTTTTTCAAAAACTATAATATGAATGAATACTTGGACAAGATACTACCGGATCTACACTTTTCTTCGTATATAACTTAGACTAGAAGAAAAGAAAGTAGCATAGCAACCTTTTTCTCTCTCTCTCTCTCTCTCTCTATGTATATATATAGAGAGAGCTTCCAAGTTTATATATGATTATATATGATTTTATGTAGACATATACCTTTGTCGTGACAGGAGAGTTGATCAAGGTAGCCGCATTTAGCTTTGCGAACATGACTCATTCTTTAGGATGTTTTTGTAGTTCAAGATATAAAGTCAAGGCTTACTGGCGTGTTTAAAGATCTCAGAATTTATTGTTAATTCAATAATTACCTTCTTTCATTTACATCAATAATCAGGCATTCCCTTGAAATAGTTTGTGCATCAGATATTTTGTATGAGTCAAAACCGGGAATGTAATAGTCGTTTGGGACAAATAGTTACGAATTATCAAGTTAAGGTTGCTTAAGATCTCTTTTAGTTATCCTTGAAAATAGCCGATAATCACCATCAGATACTTCTACATACTTTACAAAATGTAGGATAGTACAATATATCCAAATGTAAATCCCGGAGTTTCAATGGCCTTGGACATTGTTTTGATTACACCGCAAAAATAAATACTGCCCAACAAAAGAAAGGGACCCAAGGTGAGTGTCTGGAAAAAATCGAAGGCTTCCTTTCATCGAGGTATGGAGCGAGACTCCAAAACTTTTCGCCTGGATGCCCATAGATCAGCCCATGGATTTTTTTCACTGAAATTCATACACGTATCCTTAAAATCAGAAACTCGTCAAATAACTTTGACGAGTCGATCAGGCCATCTTCCGAGGACCGCTTTATTGGCACTCGAAAGAGAGGGAATGTGCGTTGAACCTTCGGGCATTGAGAAAGCACCTAAGAAAGTTTTGTAGAATAGGGTCAAGTCGGAAGGTTATTGAGTACAAACAACTGAAATTCGAAGAAAGGGGCAGGAACTTGCCAATAAAAAAATAGAAAGAAGTAACTTTTAAGGCACGGAAGGTCGTTTAGAAGGGGTAGGGCGAATCAAAAAAAATCTAAAGAGAATATGCGTGTTGTGCAAAGAGTATCACATGAGGAAAAGGCCCAAGGTTCTAAAACAGCGGAAATCTAAACTAATTCAGTGCTAGAAAATATCTCCTGGTACCACAGACTAGACAGGTCGGCCTCCAACCAAACCCCTAGGCTGACGACACCATTGCAAGGGCGGCGCTCCACCAACGCGGCTAGATGCCCTATATCCAGGCGAGGAAACAAGGAAGACATGCTGCAATGCTTCAAAATGCTTTGTTAATTTCTGGCGGCGACGGCGAAGCTAGGCCATTTGCGCTTGTACTGCAGTCTCGTTGAACTCCACTCGGGTCTCATGATACCACGAGTATCTGTAATTCATCAGCACACTTATCTATCCGTATAATGCTTACAAGACATCCATATCCTTCTTCCTCTCTTTTCATCCAATTTTAACACCCACGTTTTACTTCTGCTAAAAGTTTTTTTCCACCGTAAGGACAGCACCGGAACTTTTCAAGTGGTTATTGTCAACTTGCAGGAAGTCGAAAAAATCTTTTTACCTTATCATGTGGAAGAAATTGAAAATGAGAAAAATTTTGCATGCTTTCCATGATGTTCTTGGGCTGGGTATAGGTGTTGTACCCACATGATAGAGCCCTATAAAACAATGAGTCTTGAAAGAATCTTGTGCAATTGGGAAAAGATCACTACAAGACTTCACATCCTAAGACAGAGTTGCCACGGTTATGGCTAAGGCAGTCTATCATTACCGCCACTAAAGTCCAGGCACCTCAGACTTAATAGAATAATAGCTCTGTAGATCAGTTACATACTCTACCATATAGTCTTGACGCCAAATATATGAAGCAATGAAGTCCAATCACATGCAGGAAAAGGGATCTAGAGAGATATTGTAATTGATGGCAAGTTCTAACTGCCGATGATATGATAATCTATATTCTAATTTCCTTTTAAAACTAATAATCTTGAGTCAATATCACATTTATCGTTTTCTTCCTTTGTGCATCATAAAAGTTTCCTATATATGACTTTCCTGTCAAAAACATAACTAAAGATGATTAAAAAAAAATGCAAGGGAATGAAATACTTCGTTTTGAATTGTCTAGGTTTCAGAGGTACAACCTCGTTACTTTTCTAGAATATTTCTTTCGTTACATTCTGCTGAAGTTTTTACAGGAGTGATTTTGCCATCATTCATACTTGATCATTCTATTATCTCGTAGCTACGATTCACAATCCAGTTCATTCATTTCCGTGGTAAACCAATATTATTACTCTTTCTTAGTGCAAATCAATATATTCTGGAGTTTCTTTAATAGTGCGAAAACACGTTTCAAGTATATCTTAAAGTAACACCATTAAGATTGTCAAGCCAATACATGCGTAGCAAAGGGATGACAAACATGTTCTTGTGTAATCCTTCATGAACATTTCCACACTTAGGATTATGAGTAGAGATTATAAAGATATTGTTTTAAAGTCGAGTAACTACACTCTCTCTGCATTAAGTTGATTCTTATGATCTAATTATAGATTCATACAACTCAATGAAAAATTTATAACAGTGTATTGTCTGGATTCAGCATTTGCATGAGCTAGAATCTCGATTAAACTCAATATTCTCGAATTGTTTACCTTTATCGTGTCTCATTCTCATCTCGTGTATTCATGTCAGCAATATCAATCGGCCGTTCAAAGACAAAAGTAATTGTGATTTATCATCACTTGGAAGTGATTGTTAAACAGTGCTTTTGTTCCCGGCTGTGTTCATGTGAAACTAGACTTAGAATGGCTAAAACTAAAATAGCTCAATGATCAGATTCGGGCCCCAAATCTGATCATCTATCACTTTGAGCCGATGAACAAAAAATCAGCTCAGCTTAGTAGCTACTCCATAAGCATTTCTGACATGACTTGAAATTTCATTCTCTGAATTATATTTTCACTGCTGGAAAATGCAACCGGACAGTTCAAAATCTGATCAATCCATAAATACGAGGTAAATGGAGTCCTTCTGCACTTATTCATCAGAAGCTCGTGATATAAAAGTTCTTAATTCCTTCACCCAACCGCGTTCGAAATCATAAGCACATTGATGCATATTTCTGCATGCATGTATCACGTACTCGGATCAACCTCGCGTGGAAATATTAAGCGAATTAAGGACGCCAGGTCCCACCTCCTTAGACAGTGTCGAACTACCAAGAGTGACTGGAGATGCTGTTGCAATGAGCCATTTTGACTAGGTATGGCAAATTCTAAACGACTAAAATTCTGACAAATAGTATAATATTGCACACTATGGCAGAGCTTGGATGATGTAACTGGTAACTTGAAGATAATGCTCTACATTTTCATCTAATCCACGCTTCATTGGACTCTGTGTTTCCTTTTCACATTGCTCGTGCTTGGACTCTGTGCTGAGTCTTCTTGTTCTGATATCTTGCTTTCAGTTTGCACTGTACTCTCCAGACTATTCTGTCCTTGTTCATGTGTCAACTTTGCTACTTGTCTTGAATTTTCTCCTCTTCAGGTTTCAGGCGAGGAAGCCCACCGGCTGCATCGCTTGAGGAGATCAACGTCAACGAATCTTGTCGGTTTCCATCTCTCCGAGTCAGCCTCAGAACCAAGCAAGTTGGATCTGCGGTAACAAACATTGATTCTGGGAAATGTACTGAGCCTTCAGAACGAGCTGACATTTGTTTATGGTTTCTGAAGCTATCATCACCCCATGCTTTCCATGTTGCTGTCTAAACCTTACCAGAGTCACCACATTCCCTTACGTAAGGTGCTCAGAAGAATCATTCCATGATACCGTAGTATGCTGCTATAAATGCGGGCAGCTCATAAGGTCTTTACCATCCCATTCCAGTCTTGAAGCTGCATGAAGTGAGAGTACTGTTCCAGTTCATCATCTTCTCTCAATAACTCGTCTGCGATTCTGCTATATTACGTAAGTTTTCGCTACTAGATTCCTGGCATTGCGAGATTCAGAGTAGTCGTGCTAATTCTCGGAAGTTATTACTTATAGATTCCAGGCGTTTAGATTGTGCTATATCGAAAGTTTTGCATATGTTTGAGATATGTACCCAGTTCTGAACTGACATGCACGTCTTGCATGATGTTACACTTTTCATTTACGTATTATGGGTTATCGAGTCTATTTCAGTTTATTGCCAACATTGGACTCTTTGTCTAGGACGGTACTCCATTGTGTATAAAACTACTTCAAACGATCAGATCTTCTGAGTTGTGAATCCCGCTGATAATTGTTCTCTCTCGTATGCTTTATAAGTCTAAGATATTAAGTATTTAGTGTTTATTGATCTGTTCAAGCCTGAATCTCGAATGAGGAATGTGTTCAGCATCAGTTACAGACTGCTGAATACTACAGGCTCCATATATGACCTCTGCTGTTGTGACCAGAAAATACAAAGTCTCATTCCATATAGAATTTTTCTTAATTCACTGGCTTATTTATCAGCCGGCATGCCTCCCGACCTTCCACCTTGGAAGCGCGATTCAGGCTGCACTAAAGTTATACGCTCCTCTTAGACACATACGTGCTAGAGCGGTTTATTGGGAATGGCAATTCCACATTCATAGTAAATACTCAGATTCCACTCCTTTGCCTTGACAATATGCAGGAACAGGAAGGTTAAGAAACATGGCGAAGTTAACTACGGAGAACATGCAGGGGATCCCACAACCCTACACTCCTTTCAAGCTGATGAATGCAGATTTGAAGAAGTTCCTTGCAGTGAAGAGTGAGTACCCGGAAGCTCCAATTGTGGAAGACACAGACATCAACACTCTTGAAGTATACTGGTACCTCGTGTCATCCGAGAAGCGAGAGGCGTCTTACAACATAATCAACATGAAAACCGGGCTGGCGCTGACAGCAAAAAATTCGACTTCAGTCAAGACTGAAGTATACATGCAAACCTTGGAGGAGTTCGATGAGAATCAGCTCTGGGTTTTTATCCCCGCGTCGTTCTTTTCATTCGGGTTCTACCGTGTCCAGAATTACAGTGCCAGAGTCGAGCTGACGACAAAAGCGGTGGAAAATGGGAACTCTGTCACCACCTTCGTTCTTGGTGATGGACCTGAGATATTCGAACTGCAGTGGCGATTCAAATTCAGCGTGGGCGACAGGCAGGGGATTCCTCCTCCTTCCACGCCTTTCAGGCTCATGAACTATGAACATCAAAGATTCGTCTTCGGCGAAGACAAAGTTGTGTTCCTAAGAGACGCGCTCAACAACCTCTTAGAACAGCAGTTTAGACTCGTGGCACCACCATTCTTGAGTAAATTGCGCCAAACCTACATGATCCAGAACCTGCAGACGAAAGGGTTTGTGACGGACGATGGCGCAGCGGATGGTAAATTGAAGACATTGCAATTGGCCGAGAAGGATGTGGAGGATGAGAGACAGTACTGGATCATCGTTCCTTCTAAGGAGTTCGCTGGTGGTTTTCGGCTACGAAATGTTAAAACCCAAGGTTATCTCCTGAACGGCCCCACGCACCTTGGCAACCAACTCAGCACCCTGGGCAGCATTAAGGAATGGCCCGATCAGGTCTGGATCTTCTCGCTAGTACTTCCTGCTCTCGAGTAGCAGTCACTGGTCTGATTCTTCAGCTCGAGACTGACCGACGGAGCTGCCGCAACAACACTAATGTGAACTGGAAGCCGTGGCGGCCTGTGTATATCCTTAATGTCCTTACCGTGCTCAATATTAAAGCCGTGCAAAGTGCTCGAGATTTGCGCTGCTGGGCTCTCGGTTGAGTGAGGTAATTGTTTTTATTTGTTTGTACGACTTTAATACTCTACCTTCTGCTCGTTTCAGCTTTGTGCTCTTCATCCTCGTACCCTCGCCGATCATGTTGGTCCTCTCCATGGATCCACAATGTTAGCCAGCGTTGTGCGCTAGGATGCTAAATGGTACGATCTGGCCATTATCAATAACTCTCCATGTTCATAGTGCTGGAAGTAACTACGTAGTCGGAACAGCCTGCCTCGAGTTGTGAAGCAGAATTCCTTCACCAGCGTTTGAATCTTAAAGTCCGGATTGACTCTTACAATCGCACACTCTTCCTGATTATGGAGCATGTCATGAGTCTGCTGAGCTATGAGTTTATTTAAAATGCTCGAGTGTATGTATATGCTTGAGTTTTTTTATGCTTATCACCTCGAAAGCCGGAACGCTTGTCAGCTTTCACGCCGCTCAAATGCGAACGATCTGCTCACTGTTCATGATGGGGTACATGTTGCACGAGCTCAGCAACGTGAAGAGTGCGTCCGTATGAGTTGGTTACGAGAAAGCACATATCTGTGACTGTCTGTTCCGACGTATGACATATTTCAATTCTCTGTTCATGATATCCATACATGGTATGGGTTCCTTCACTGAGCTCTACTTCCAACTGGACTCTCATTGTTTGATAATATCTACCTTCGGGCAGCAGAAATCCTATGAGAATGTAAGTAACGAGACGTCGGGTGCGAGTTGTATAAGTATAACTCAAGTGAGATCAGAGGAAGAACATTTCTGAAAGAAGAAGAGGAACATGAAAACAGATGTGGAAAAGAACCATAACGTTCTTGGTCAGCACTCGCCTCCTATCACAGTCCAATCTGTTAATTGACTGCTGATCTCAGATACCGAGTGGAAGCAAATGAAATTTGGCAGTTTTGGCCCAATGGCCCCAAACACTGAACGTAAGCCTTTTCGTAGGGCAAATCGTCTCCCTTACAGGAAACAACCAACTACTGTACGTCTGTTTGTGATATATGTGTGGGTCTGAAGGTTTGGCGTGTATTTGATTTTCACACGTCACAATGTGTCTTTCAGTGAGCCAAGGTTGTTGAGAGATTTGCAGTTACCATTCTAAACCCATCATCTAACCACGCCCAATGTAGTCAAATTCCTACTATTCAGCAATTTATTCGGTAGGAAGATCATTGATAATCATTCTAAAACATACACCATCTTGAATATTCTTGTGTTTCTAAAAATTATTTTGCAACAAAGCAACTCATAATGAGATTTTGAAGTCAAACTTGAAGAATGTGTATCGAGTTCAACTTATGCATTTGATTCTTGTAACCATTTCATTCCTTCTCGTGAACTTCTGTGAGGACACAACCCTGAAAGTGCAAGAATTTGCGTCAGGCAAGCCACCAGAACACAAATATCTAACTGCAATTTCACTCAGCTTTGGATGTGATAGAGTGTGGCTATTGTGAAGCATTGAATGCTATAAGAGCATGGGCTTTTTGAAACACATTGTGAGTCTGGCTCCACCATAGACTTTTCTCTGTCCAATGATTATCGCGGATTGTGCTTGTGAGCTTTTGAAGGAAACAAAATATCAGTTCAAGATTACATTGATTCTTAATGGAGTTACTCAAATTGTGACTGGTTTGTGAATGTTGACCCATTCTAAAGTTCTTCGCCATGTTGAATAGAGACTATCAAGAGTGAGGACTCACAGGCTACTAGGCTTGTACTAGTTACATATAAAAACTAGAGAAAGTTTTGGAAAGTCATTTGGAAAATCAACGCGTTATATACAATATTTAGTTTAGATGTTATCCCTTGAAATATGTGACAGTGGAGACCACATTGGATACATCAGAAGTAGCTTAAGAATAAAAAATTTGTGGATGTAATCAATAGACAATTTACAAATTGGAACTCAACACAAATCATAAGAATCAATCAAGCAAACGCTGAAGATGCGGATATGAAATAATACATCCTTCAACATGTTATTTAGAAGCTTGGAGTATCTATGTTTAAACAAGAAAATTGAATAAAATCATATTGTCCACATGTTTGACCGTAAAGGAGTTCAAGAAGCCATGAAAGCAAAACAGAAACATCGGGAAAATATTGTGCTATCTTCAAAGCCTACTCCATAGGCATCAAGGTCGTAGGTAAAAGGACTTCAAGAAGCCATGAAAGCAAAAGGAAAAAATCACAAAATTATTGTGCTATCTGAAAGGTCTACTCCAAAGACATCAAGGTCTTAGGGCGACATCAAAAACTGGCGAAGAAGCAATCACCTCTGTAAAATAATTGGAGAAGGAGATCATGCTAGTTTTTATGAAGTTGAAGGAAATGAGAGCCACAGGCAATTAAGTTTTATATGCTGACACTCGTATGGATCAAATCGCAGGAATTTGAACAATGTTATGCATAGCATCTTGCAAGACCTGCATCAATATTTTGCCATATTGGGTGAATGTTTGGAGAGAAGATTCATTTGGCTGATAAAAAGTAGAAAGAACGAAACAAGGCAATGCCAAAAAATGAATATCAGGGAATCAGAATTGTGACAATGAAAGACCTAATTATGCTTCAGCAGCTCATTGATGTCAGGTTTCACCTCTAATTTTCAATTATATAATAAGTATTTTGAAACTAGGGAAAAAAGTTTTGTTTTGTTTTGCAAATCTTGCAATTTGCAAACAAATAGCAAATTGTTTGTTGCAATTGATCTGCCTTAGGTTAAAAGTATCTTCTACGCAATTTTGAATGATTCATTTGAAACTGATTGAAATTTATCAAAAATGTAATTATTTTTCTGATAATTTTTTTTAATCATAATAAATTTATAAAATATAAATCGAATTAAGGTTGTTTAATTCAAAATTTTAATGACTTTTATAAATGAGTTTTCATATTATTTAGAAAAAAATTAAATAACACGAAAAAAACTGATGTTGAGAAAAGTAACAAATTAAAGATTGTCGCATCAATACCTTTCTAGTCTAATTAAGAATAGCTACGTGTGGCATTTATTCATGATCAGATTTAAACTTTGTAAATCTGTAAATTCCAAACCCTAAATTTTGTTACCTACTTAGTATTTAGTAGTTTGGTATATAAGATATATTTTACTCTAGACCTTACATTTCAAATCTTCAACAACATGCTCTATGTTCTAGTTTAATTAGGGACTCATTCAATCAAAAGTGCTCAATTTTGCGAGCTTGATGTTGCATTTATTTAACATTTTTCTATCCTGTCCAACGTAACTTTCACCGTTATCCTTACTCAATTTAACTTGCATCTCTTTTCTTGAGATGAAATATAGATATGGTTATCAACATAATCTTATATATTATCCAACCTTACGTTAGGTTTGTCATATACATTCTCAAGTACAAGTTTTCTAAAGAATAAAACTATTGTTCCATCGATGTCATCCTCTTGTGTATAAAAATGATATCCGTAGATTCCAAAAACATAGATCATGTGTTGGTTGCCTTTAGTATTGACATCATTTGTATTGTTGATCTTGAATTCAAAAACTAAACTTTAGTTGATTTAGAAGATTTTTCAGCAATGCTCACTTATATCAAAATTTTACGGTAATATTAGCCCAGAATTTTTTATTCAGTGCATAGTTTATGTTAAAGATTTTAAATGAGTAATGCCATCTGTGTTGGATGAGTCACTAGATCCTTCATGTAAGCAGTTACATTATCTAGAATATCTGCTCACACTTCTGTCTGGACACAAAAAATATAATTCATAATTCAAGGAAACCAAATGAAGTGATTTTCACTTTGCTATTTTATCATATAGCTCCGTGATAACTTGAAAAAAAAATGTGAGATTTATCTGAAAGATTTACTATCGTAAGTGAAGCTCATGTTTGGAAATTGGGTGTACACTTAGATTGAATATGAAGCAAAAAACTTTACGAAATGTTGTTCATTGGTTTGTGAATAAACAATTTTTTGTTGTTGTGGATTTTATGCACATTGCTTATATCTTTAATGGAAAAAAACAAATCTAAACTCATGTGTTTTTATAAGCATGTAATGAACTGACATCTCACAATGGATTGTATTTCAAATATCTCTTAAAATTTTTGTGAAGTGATCTATGCCTATAGATTCATTTAAATTACAAACGTCGTGGGAAACCCAATATCTGCATTATCTATGATATTATGTTATCCAGCTTTCCATAGCTTGAGGAAGACTTGTCCGATAATTGTCGCGAGTGGTTAAAATTGACGTTCGAAAGAGAAAGCATTTCAGGAAGGAGAGAGAGACAGAGGAGCTAAATTATATTGTTGAAATAATCAAAATATGATATTTTTGCTGATCTGATCGATATGTGAATTTTTCATTCTTGCATTGGATCAGCAAAGATGCATCGTCAGGTGTAACGGCTACAAGGCTTGTTGTCTCAAAGGCATTCGTGGTCAGTTCAGCTAGATTATTACTAAGCTCTCTGCCAACCGACATTAGAATCGAAAGGTAATTTCAACAAGTTTCATGAGATTTATCCTTGACATTTTCTCATTTTATGAGTCCTTTACCTGAAGCAAGCAATGATTACCACTAAAAAGCTCTAACAAACCTTAAAAGGTTACAGTTAGAATAAGAAGCAAAAATGATGGTCAAACAGTCATGGATTGCAAACAAAAGACTATTAAGGGATTTGTAGCACTCAATCTAAGTTTGAATGCCTGATTGAGAAAAAAATTAATTTCTCATCTCCTGTTTCCTGATCTGACTGATTGCTTTCTTAAAATCTATTGAAAATAAACTTCAGTTTTACCATTTTTTCCATGGTTTGAATACGTTCACAACTCAGCTTCAGTACAAGTTAAGAAGATAGAGAGTCTCAATAAAATTCAAGTTCATGAGTGTCCATAGAGAGAGTAAACAGACTCATTATTCACAGGAGAGACTTAGTCTTTACAGTCATGAGTCTAGCACAACATCAGTCTATCTCGCCTAGTCTAGCCATGAGTTAGCTAACTATAGCAACCATGACATTGTTTTTCAATACTTAACATTAGTTGAAAGTAATGTTGCATTAGAGGACTTGAAGACGGCAGATTCTCTGTGAGTATGAGAAAGTGCAGAAGTGAGCATGCAATGGCGGAATGTACTGAGTAAAAACCCTGGACGAAGTATCTCCACAAATCCACGAAGTATCTCCTTGGGCTTTCTCGGAACAGAAGAAGAAGAAATCCATTTTTGGCCTTTAATATATATGTGGTTACAATGTTGACCGCCTCTCCAGCCACAACTCCGGGGCTAGTCTGCCCGTACCCGTAGAGGCGGCTATTCAAGATTTTGAGACTATATAGAAGACATTTTCACGGAGATATGCCTCGCGAATACGCTTGTTGGCTTTTGCAACCGAAATCATGATTACAGCGCAAGTGAACGAAGCAGAAACCAGAAGTGGACACTCGTAGCTCTTTTGGACCCTACATCACGAAAGACTGATATGCAGGCCACGAATGGAGTCCGTGTTGTACAAGAGACCTCAAGGCTTCGCAGCCTCGGTTATTCACAATGTGCGCGTCGTCACTCGGTTCACAGCCCAGGTGCTCCTCATGTATAGCAACCTCCACGGCTTAAACATCACTCATATTATTTACTGTTATGTTACTGTAAGGAATTTCCACACGAAATTCTCTGTGTGCAGGATTCACACCTGCCACGGCTGGAGAAGCTTCTAGCGTCACTCACTCCTTGAGCTGGTGCTCGAGAGCAGGGAGGACCAGAGAGATCGTCCAGACCTGATCGGGCCATTCCTTAATACTGGACATGCTGCTCAGCTGGTTGCCCGCATGCGTGGGGCCGTTGATGAGATAGCCTTTGGTTTTGGCATTGCGGAGTCGGAAGCCGCCATCGTAGGCCTTGGAAGGAACGACGATCCAGTACTGGTTCATGTTTGCCTCATCCTTCTCGGCCAACTGTACGCCTGAAACTTCACCCGTCGAAATACCGTCGTCAGTCACATACAAGTTCATGTTCAGACTCTCGATCAGGTACGATTCACGCCATTCCTTCAACCTCGGTACCACGAGCCGGAACTGCAGCTCCCGGTAGGTGTTGATCGTGTCTCTCACGAAGAGAACTTTTTCTTCGCCGAACACGAATCGCTTGTGTTCATAGTTCTGGAGCCTGAAGGGCACAGAAGGAGGAGGAATCCCCTGCCTGACCCCCTCGGCGAATCGGAATATCCACTCCAGGTTGAACGATTCAGTTTTGTTACCCGTATCAGTTGTGGTGACCTTGTTCCCGTCTGCCACCGCGGTGGTCTGGAGGTCCACTTTGGTGCTATAATTCTGGATTCGGTAGAACCCATCGGAAAACACCTTCGTGGGGACCATAGTCCAGAGTTGTTTCTCACTGAACTCCTCCAGCGGCTGCATGAACACTTCACGCTCTCCCGAAGAAGAGCTGTGTCCCGTTAGCGCCAGGCCATTTTTCAAGCTGACAATGTTGTAGAACCCTTCTCTCTTCTCGGATGATACGAGGTACCAGTAGATGGGAAGGGTGTTGATGTCACTGTCTTCTACAACTGGATTCGCCGTGTTTGTAGTAGATACTGCAAGCCATCTGCTGAACTGTGGATTCATCAGCTTGAAAGGAGTGTAGGGCTGCGGAATTCCCTGCAGGTTCTCCGTAGTTAGTCTCGCCATGGTGCTTGATTCTCCTGCACATGCACATCGTCATCGTCATGAAGAGTCAGCTCAAAGCTGGAACCTTATGTGCGACAAAGCGGCTCTACCTTGTTCGTGCAGAATAAACACGTTTCATCCCGAGGTTAAGACTTCAGAGGCATGCTGCTGATGGAGAAACCAACGATAGATAAAATGATTAGCATAGGAAAGAATCTTAAAACAACATCATAAGTCAAATCCACAGGCTCAAGAGATCAGCTGCTGATGGAATATTCAGTGATGATACAAATGATCAACGTAGGAAAGAATCTGAAAACAGCATCAGAGGTCAAACTTAGAGGCCGGAGAACTGGCAAGCTAGTGAGTTAATATGCTTATGGTAGCTGGTATACACATTGCGATCTTCATAAATGATAAGAGAATATTAAGTTTTCAAACTCAGGAATGAACGGGAGCACCCTGAGGACCATATGGGAAAGTCTAACGTGAATGGAGCATGACGTAAAACATCTTCTGGTTTGAAGAGATAAAATACTCAGTACAAAGACCATAGTCCGATCTAGCTAAATTTTTTCAGTGGACTCAATGGGTAATATGCCGTAGAAACTTGTAACTGCATGGAAGCTAAACATGACATTGTCCCTTTGAACAGGATATGTATAGCGGAAACATACACAAAGTTCGTACCTTGATACGTGCAAGCAGTCTGGAGGATAGAACTTACGAGAATTTGCACAACTTAGTGAAGGAATCCGATTGATCGAGCAAGGATAACAGGTTGAAGAAAGAACTCGACTTCGGAATCGAAAGACTTCGATTAAGCTTGAAGGAACTCGTTCGTGGTCCGTCTTTTATACATGCATCAGGACGGGATTGACGGGATTTAATATTGGAACACTAGTACCTCACTTAAAAGGAATGTGGTACGTCTCAAATAGCATCATGGAAAGCATGGGATGCTGATAGCTTCAGTAGCTTTAAAAGTAAGTCACACAGTTCTGAAAGCGTAATACATTCGCCGCATGAACTTCCAAGGATCTGGTCCGCAGTGCCAGGGTCAGTATGCTCTCATAGCTGTCGAAGCATATTGAGGACTGCGAACATGTCGAAGGCTGACACTTTCTCATAGACAGTGTTCCTTCTCGTTCATACTTCTTCTCCTCTTCTAGGTTGAAGTAATTTGACTCCATCTTATTGAATGAATAACATGCGTACGTGCTCAAATCTCATCGTCCTCAAAATCTCAAATTACCAGTGTCTTTTTTTGTAATTTCGGTCATTATTTAGTACTTCACTTACTCATTATCTTGGAAGTGACGCGTACTTCTCCAGGGCTATCTGACTTGTCTGACATACCTGGAATTTAAGATCACCATCCTGAGCTTCATTCACGTGTTGAATTCAGCTCGTAGCTGATGCTCGTTTCAAAAGAAGTGACTGAGCAAGCCTGGGGTTACCGTGGGTCCCGTGCAGTCTTCATATATGCACGAGATATGCGTTCATGTGTCCTAGCTAACCAGAGATAGCTCTGATACATTTCTCCTCAATTACCACCTAGGTAATCATTCCTGCTGTTCCGTGAATTATGTTCATATACAAAGTGATCTCCAATTCGATTTTAGATCTAATTCGAACTGAATTTCAGAAAGATATTCCAGTTATTTGTTCTTGTGATTTGAAGGCTTAGAAATTCCTCTTTCATATAGATCATAATTTAATTACTGAGTGATAAGATGACTGAAGCCTTTTGTAGAAAAGTCAGGTTCCATTTTGGCAGTATTAAATAAGTTCTAAAAGAGGGATGCTAATTTCCAATCGTTTCCAATTGGAGCCGAAGAGAAAGAAAAAGAGCATAAAACGGATTATAAAGGAGAACAGCGGCATATATCTTTTCCCAGCCATCTGAATCTTCGATCATCTTAGACCTGTCTCTGGAATGGAAAGAAATCAAAGGCTGCAACTTGGCTGTCTCAAGTCCGGTTATATGGCCAGAATTCAGACCTATTCTGCTTGCAGAAGAGAGGTGAACTGCTGTCTAGCTGCGCTAATGCCACTCAAAACCGGAAACCTTTCAGTATGGATCCTCTTCAATTATCAGCTTCTGATCTGATATGTTTTCCGGCTACCTTCTGGAGGTCGTAGTAAATCGTCAGAAACAACATTATGCCTGACAGACAGGCAATTTTATTTAGAAGATTGCGGCCATCCTGGCTGAGAAATGAGGATTTTACTATCACCCACAGTGCAGGTCGGAACGGCATCACTAGCTTCTGCAGTCCAGAACTTCACTTGCTTGTGGAGTTCTGGATTCCACAAGCATATGAAAAGAAGAGAAGTGAATTCAGTTTTTTGTACATATGCAATTTTAACCTGGTAGACTAGTCACTTTGCTTACAAGAAACTACTTTAAGCCCAGCTATCATCGGGTATGAATGAATGTCGACCATGGAAGGTTCAATTCAACACGTGAATGAAGCTCAGGAGCTTGATACGAAGCGTGTATCAAGCTCAATCGGGTATGAACGAACGTCGACCATGGAACTATCATGGTCTTTTGAGAAAACGCAACAAATTCAGCTGCACCATTTGTTTTCTCGATGCTCTGCTGTGCTAAGCATTATGTGATGGTATTCAGAATTTGGGTGAAACATATGCCGCTCGTCAACATGCTGAGGTTTATTGAATACAATATTTATTGCCGAGTCAACTGTCTGGATATGAAGTTGACCCAAAACTTTTGAAGCCGAGAAGGTTTGCTCAGGTGCAATCATGTGATGGTTTCATGCATGCAGAGCTTCCATTCAGTGTGTACGATGACAAGCTTTTGTCTACTGGGTGAAAAAGATTCACTAGTGTGAGATCCAAGGGATCTCCACAGTACGTCCCCTGAGTTAAGCCGAACCCATTGACTTCATCACCCCTGATATTTTGGCTTTTATGTATTTTTGGCTTCACAGATTTTGAAGTTGTCTACGTCTCAGATTTCGCAGCCAAGACATCATCTGGCCATTTGATGTTATAAAGAAATATTTTGGCTTAAACTTCACTCTTTTCCTTCACTATCTTCTGAGAAGGAAGGCAAAGCTTGATGCACGCTTCGTAATCAATAATGCTTAATCTTATCTCGATAAATTTTCTTCTGTACTACGTTTGCCTTCTATGTCAGTGCTGGTAACTTGCTTCATGTCCATCACTCCTACACAGTGAAAGTACAATGGGGAGGACTGGACATCCATTCAAAAAATCAGTCTTCTGTGACATTTGTACGATTCACCATTGCGTTCAGATCCAAATTGTATAATATTTGTGTAGAACGTGATCTAAAAGGAATGTCAGCTTCATCGTTGACATCGCCCCCATAATATATATTACTAGCTGGAAAGGAGGCTCAAAAGCACTGACCTTCAATTTTTTATCGTGGTAGGTTCTGGTGAAGTTCCTCCTGCATTACATCGTCTCCTACGCCCTGCACAGTGCACGCTGACCAAAAAACCTAGTGTGTAGTACATCTGCTGTAACGATAGTTTCACTTTATTCCTACCAACTACAAGTAGGTAAAGGAGTAAGATAATCACAGAAATTGCATCATCAGACGACTACCCAAGCATAAGGGAATGTCCCACGAGAAGTGAAAGAAGACGGGATTTTTCTCAGGATAAATCAGTATCTCATCTATTGCAACTCCAATAGGAATGGATAGACCTGAACAAACATCCATTATCACATCAACCCTCACAATGGCGCGGGTATAAACCTTAGCATTAACCTATATAATACCAGATATCACTTGGAATAACGAGTGATGACATATTAAAATCCTAGAAGTTGATAAATGGTCATATAGGATCTACACTTCTTTCCCTTAGAAAACATTAATTTCATAGATACTGCTAAGGTATCTATTGGAACGGAGGTTTAGGGCTTAAGGCTACCTAAACCCTAAACCCTACTGGTCAGGTAAGGTTTAGGTATCCCTATACCATAAACCTCCTTTCCATTTCGTCTTTTTGATCTTGCCATTAGCTTTCTCAGTATATGTCCTATGTAGAAATATCCGATCCTTGTGAATAATATCTATTGACACCAGCTCTCTTCCCAAGAAGAAAGCAGAAGCGTAAATCAAGTACCTGCGTCGTGGTTATCTACACACAACATTTTCTTCGCAATTTTTTGCGTCAAGAAATAAAGCCAAGGATTCTCTATCTCCTTCCATGTTTCTAAATTTCATGGTATATATTGACTAAATTAATCAGAAAATTAAGAAGCATTTCCTCGAAAAGTTTGTAATTTAAAAATAACCAATCATCATGTTAATGTCACTTCAACTTCTTTTCTCGTTTCTCACCAGCAGATTTATGCTACCTAATGTATGAAATGTATTTAAGGTGCAACAAACCCAAGTGTGATTCCGGTACGCATTCATTTTGAAGAAAAAGATTGCCACTGGGTTTGGTCAGAGATACAATCCTTAGCACCTAGAGGACAGTAAGGCATCCAATCCCTTGTCCAGCATCCCGATTGCAAGGGCGGCGCTTTACCAACGCGGCTACGCGCCCTATATCCAGTCAGCGAATGCATGCAAAAAAGTAGACCATTTTGCTATTCTTTATTTTTTATGTCGGCGACGGCGAAGCTGCGCTATCTGCGCTTGAAGTGCACATTCGTTGACCTCCACTCGGGAATCATGAGACCAAGAATATCCGGTACTCACAAGTACTGTACATCAATCCATCCGCTTGAATTTTTTTAAGAAATAATTATCATGGATCCTATGCTTTCGTCGAACTTTAACTATTATAGAAAGAAATATGGATAACATAAAAAAATTTCCACATGGTTATTGTCAAAATGCAAGGAATCGAGAGAATGTTTTATACATTGTAATGTAGAAGGAACTGACAAAGGACCATGTTTTGATATGCCTTCCTCGCTGTCTTTGTGGTTGGTATAGTTGACAAACACATTTTATACAGCCCTTGCTGTGGGTCCTATTTGAAACATCCTGGAGTTGACAGCTGTGAACTGTGACGGAATCTTGTACAAGCAGGGAATAATCCCAACAAAGCGCAATATGGATACTATGGTTTCTAGAAATAATTTGTACTCCAACAAAATAAAATCTTCTTCTGTTTTTCTCCCTTTCATCAAAATAAAAATCTTCTAGTTATGACTTTCTTTCCTCTCATATGTTTCAAGTAAAGATTGAGAATTCTTTTTAGAAGTTTAGATTATTGTTTCCTTTTTTTTTCATGAAGAAAATAGACGTATTGATCTTGTTACTTTTCCAACAAAAATTTCTCATTTGTAAAACATTTTTTCAGTGATGTTATCATCGTCATTTCCACTGAATCGTTAGGCTTTCGTTTCGCAAAAATCACCGACGACTCTCTTCCATCCGTGGTATAACAAACCTAAATTGATTATTTGTGTTCAATAGAGATATATATCTCTATTGAACACGAATGGAAAGCACTACGCACATGTTGGATAGAATTTCAAAATCATTTCCAGAATGAATAAAAAACTTAGACTTGAATGTTTCTTACACTGATCTATCATACCTAATCTTATTATAGATACATCTATAAGACGTGAAATTCTTATTGCAGATTATTTACTCAACGTAGATTTCAAATTCTAAATTGAACAAACACTGAGTAAAATAGATACTCTAGACAGAAGATATTCATGAGCACGACTCTCAATTCAACTCAATTATCCCCACATGAGTCTCTTCATTGATAAATTTCACATCATAATAAAACTTAGAGTTTGCAGGGAATTAATAAAAAGGATTGTCCACATAAATATGCTTCTTTTTTAAAGAATATTCAGCGAATTATGTTTATGATCTAAGGGTATTTGGACGAAC